TATTGTAATAATCCATTCATATATGAGTATTTGTTTAAATTCTCTTTAAATGACAACATTCTTTGTTGATGTTTCAATCACAACCATGATCCTTATGTATATTTATATTCTATCTGTGGATAATTAACACGCAAACATACATGGACACAAATTTATTTTTGAAAAAAAGAAAAGAAAACGCATACATATTAGCCTAGATGTCATTACTGTTGGATATTACAATTGGGAAACAGTCGGTTAAAATAATTTTTTTCAAAAAAAAAGAAGAAAAGATTAGATGATGTTTGTTTGTTTTTTTTTCCAGTTAAAACAACTGATTGGCTCTAATTTCTGATTGGTAGATACAAAAATTTAATAGAGATCTGTAAAAGAAAAATAAACGTGTATTTTGCCCATTAACACACATACATTACTTGTTGTTGTTGTTGATTGTTTAAGAAAATAGTGGCGTTCTGTGGGGGGGGAGGGGAGAAACAGAATCGGGTAGCTTTTTGTATAGTGTTTTCGAACTTTTAAAACGAATGTTTTCTTGGAACTTAATTTTAGTAAAATAAAATATAACAAGGTATTAATAATCATAATCAAGATAAGTGTTCGTTTTTTTTGGATGGAGAGTGGCGTAGTTTTGTTCTGCAACCTGTTTAATTAGCCTTGTTGTTGTTGTGTTTTTTTATATTAAGACCACGAGTTGATCCAAATCAGAAAACCGTTGAAATCCTGAAAGCATTGAATATATGTTTCATCGTAATATAGGACTCCTCAGCAGTGTGTATACACGAGCTGGGGTCTAAGCCAAGGTCTTCCATCTCGTACGCTCCCAGACTTTCAGCGGTTGTTTAGCTAATTTCGACTCGTGACTTGAAATTTGAAAATATTTTATCAGTTTATTACTACTAACGATTTACCCAGTCCTCAACTCGTTTGATACTACTAAGTTAATTCTTGGTAGCGATACTTTATAATAGATGTTTCAGATGCAATAACAGTTTGTAAGGCTATTTTTCACTTAAATGGATGCTCTTGGCGTCGTTCAGCTCTTTGGTGGTTATTCTGGAAAACAACAGTGACTAGTGTAGCTAAACCGTGTCAGATGTGAGATAGTTAGCCACCGAAGACGATGGAAGATATCATCGGAATGTTACGAATTAATTGAAGTTAGATATTAACACCATAGGATGATGGCTCAGTTGTCTAGAAGTTAGGCTTTCGCGCGTCAAACTGAAGGTCCCAAGTTCGAGATCCATGCAAAATCGTGGATTCGTACTACTGATGAGTTTAATACTAGAACAGCTGTCCAGTGCTTCCGGGTATTAAATGGCGATCTAACTCAGTTCGGTTTATGATTTCAATGAAATGGTAAATTTGTCTGCTTAACTAAGTAAACATAAGAACTTGTTCATAGTCTTCTTTATTGAAATCTATATATTTCAACAATCTCATGTATTAATATTACTACAGCTTAGTTTGACTGGGCGTTTTAAATTCCTAATGGTTGAATCTCTATTTTATCTCGTCTGAATCAATATAAACTTTGTCCTTTAAAAATATTAATATCGTATAAGTCATTTATATCCATTTTATCATCAATGAATTGCTTGATTAAATTTATCAAGTAAACATGGACTCAATTCATCAATTTCCCACCTTCGATAATTAAAATTGAATGTGAACTAATAAGAATGCGACGTCTCTGAGGTCGTCGGCGAGAGTTCCGGGATGAATAAAAATATTATTTCACATGAGATTTATTTTACATTATGGAACAACTCGTGTTTTTATTGTTTAAATGAAACAATGGTCCAGTAATCCATAGAGATCTTATGAAGTCTTTAAATACTCATTCTTCACGACAACAATATTCATTCTAATGGTTTGATTTCTTTTCAATTTAAATGGATTATAACCACAAGTTTTTCGTAATCAAATAATCAATTCTTTTTTCGCTTATATGTATATAAGCAGTCCCATTAAATAGGTTTTAAAATCTTTAAATGAAAACTAACTGATCTCATTTATTATCATGTATACACTGTTCTGTAGATTAGACTAAAATTGACTGTTTATTTTATCTAAAATGTTTTTTTTGGATTCATGTTTTATGTATAAAACTGTTTAAATCCTTTTTGTAGTTTTTATCATGGACTAATCTAAGTTAGATAGACCTTGAGAACTGAGAAGTACTAGAGAGTTGTTTTGTTCTAGTATTTAGCTCCTTAACGCTGTGTATACACATACTTCACTAGGAAACGAACACAGAACGTTCAGGTCTCGTTATAAACGCTTAACTTTTAGATCACTCAGCTGGTATGTAATGGATTACATGTCTAACTCTTATACATTTTCAATATTTCAGTTCTGTCTACTTGATATTGTTTGACTGACACTAGTTATCAGATCAAGTGTGTACATTGTAAGCTGCTTGTCTAGCAGTTCAAACATAAGCTCCCTATCACAATTGATTGATCACTGGGTGGTGATCAATGTCATGCTTGTCTAGTCCTTATCACCACCCAGTGATCAATCAATTGTGATTACATCTCAGTCCTACAAGAGGATAGTCACGGCTCGGATACCTCAGTGGTAACGTCTCTGATTGTGAAGCTGGGTGACACGAGATCGAATCCGCCAGGGAGCACCAGTTCCCTCAAGATTACAGGTACACCTTGCTGACGAGTGCCAAATAGCACGAAACCCGGGTCCAGGGTTTCCTGTTGACTACCTCCAAACACCATCTAAATAAGCTCTCTATAAAACGTTTGTAATGATGGTAATATTTCGAAAAATAATAAAAGCATCATGAAGAAATGAAACGATGTAATAAAAAAAATCACTCAACACCACCCTATGAAACTGTAAAGGGTATTCACCATTGAATTTAAACGCTTCGATGTAGCCTTCTGTTTATTAATGCTTGAAAATAGATAAGAAATGATAATCATATTCAATATACAATTATACGTTTATTTTTTTCAATATGATCAGATATTAAATGAAGATAGATAAGTGAATTTATTAAGTACCATTATCATAATTATGCAACTGATCATCATCATCATAATTATTGTATTCATTAGTGCTTAAAGAATCTAATATAGTCATTTATCGCGTGTGACAAAAAGAAGTAAATTGGAAAACGAAAAAGTCTATTTAAAATTCTATGATGAGTATTAAAAAAATTTTAGTCGTTTGGTAAATATATTTCTAGAAGAAGGATAGAAAAGATTGCATAATAAATTGATTCGAGACTTCAATTATCAAATGTGGCTACGCAATAATCAAAGGGATACGAGAAGAATAGGACGATGGAAATAATTTACAGGTCAGAATGAGAAAAGATAATTGTCCACTTGACAGATATGAAGAAAGATGAAAAACACAAAATTCATAATAATAACTGATCACAGTTGAAAACTACAAAACACTAATTTGAAAAATCACACCAAAACATACCACAAAGGAGAATTAGGGCCAAGGAAGGAAGTTCGAGCTTGAATTGGTGGATCTCCAATGCTTCAGAAGTGCATACGTTTTTGATTCGACCTCCCTTCTATCGAGTTCCTTTGATTAAGTAGATTATTTTAAAAGAAGACTCCTTCGGAGCGATGTGTTCAAAGTTGATTAGATGCTCCTGTACTGAACTGGTAATTGTTTTGCATTCTCCTTTTAAAAGCCATACCGCGTAGCGTTCTGAGATGCGCTTGGAAAGTGATCTCTTTGTGCGACCAATGTAAGTACATTTATAGATGCACATTGGTGTGACCCAAAGCGGAAGTTTATCCTTAACACATTCATGAATAGTAGGTCGGATTGAGAAAACAATGCGGAGCTTAGCTGAATAGAACGTTTTATTCAGGGATTTTGAGATCCGTTTATTCAAGATTTTCGGCAGCTGTGTCTCCTTTAAGTTCCATATTCTTAAAAAGTGTTTTCTTTCGTACTGTCGGTGATCTTTCATAATGTCTAGGTGTTAAGTCGCTATCGAAGTGAATAACCATTCCTAATGAGAATCTATTGAAATTGAAATAGTTCCTCATCTATTGTATCAGTAGAACATATTCACCTGATCCTTCAGAACAAAAAGTGAATTAAGTTCCTCTTTCTATTCAGTGGGACCCAACTATGGAAATTCGTGTATTGTCCATTCCAGGTAGGTTTACTATCCATAGATCTCTGTAAAAAACCATCCAGCCTTATTTCCAGTCGGAAATCAAGAAAATGAAATTCGTTGTTTACCTGTGCTTCCAAAGTGAATTGAGTTGAGGGGTGACAATTATTGAAACTACTCAAAATTTCATTGAGGTTCATGTCTTCTTCACAAATAATGAAAGTATCATCCATATATGACTTATATAAACGAGATCTCTCAATTATTGGTTAAAGTACCATACTCTTCAGATTGGTCATAAAATAATCAGGCAAGAGGGTTGTAAGAAGGTCGTATAGTTTGAAAATGACTCACCATGTAGTCAAGATAGTTTTTTTGTTCCATTGGGGACTCGTTAATTGAGTGTAGTATCTTCATCCCTCTATTGATGTTCAAACCGATATTCGAAGGCCAGTGAGTTTCGAAGTCGAAACTAATACTGAAATGAAAGTACATCCGACAGGACGAAATGCCTTCTATGTTTGTAATGTTGTATGAAATGAATTTAAATATCGGAAATCTAATTAATGAGGTCAAACCAGTGCATAACATTTGACTGAGAACTCATTTACTATTTATCAGAATACTGTGTACTCTGTATCTGAGGTCTTAAGGTTGAAAGTTTAAAACACTTTATGCTGAAGTCGAACACTAAACGAGGTTCAGATAACCACTATCTTGAGCAAATACGTGCAACCGATGAGTCCCAAAGAGAATAAAACTTTCATTCTATACCTTACTGTCAGATTATTTACAGTGAGTTGTTATCAATGTTGACTAAATAAGTTGAACGGATTCTGATCTGTTTTAACGTTCTGTTTGTATGTCTTTTTCTTTAAATTTTTTCCTTCTCAAGATGTCCGTCACTTCTTCGTTTATTTCTACGTATATTGGAATCAAGTTTATTAGCATCCAGATCATACTGGGCACATAGACTTGTTGACAGAGTTCAATCTGTACGTGGAACAACCACAAATTCAACGGTATATAATACCCAATCAACAACGTCTATGCCAGCAACAATGATGATGCTTTCTTCAAAAAATGGTGGAACACCATTATCTGGTTCTCCTATTCCTAGTACTAATGCTGATTTGTTAAATCAAGATACATCTAGTTCAACCACAAACTATCCTAAATTTATTGGTTCTTCCAAATTAATTACTACTGATTCTGGCCAACAACAACAACAACAACAGGTTAACAGCATATCTACCGTTGCCCTAACAACATCATCAATAACTACCTCTCCTACGTCTACATCAGTAAATACAACTGTTTCTACTTCTAATACATTATCTTCTGCACAAATATTCAATGAATCTAATACAAATATTTCTCCTCAATCAGTAGTACCAATTAATAATGAAGAATGTGAACGTTTATGTACAAACATGTTATTAACACAAGATTCAACTATTATTCAGTTATTGCTAGAATATTGTTTACCAACAGAAGATGAAAAGGTAATCAATTTTCAATGGATTATTTCTTCATTCTGTTATGCTTTTTGTTTTCAATTTGTTTGTTTGTTATTTATGTAATAACAATTGACAGTTTTCATATATACATTGATAACTGCTAGCAGTTGGTACTTAAAAATATTGTTGAACTCTTCTTGTAGACTAATTTAATCAAATAAATCGGGACAATAATACGATAGATAGATATATACAATAACGGTCCAGCACATTGATAATATTGACTGTATAATATGATTTTTCTTTTACCAATGGACAGGTCTACATTCTAACAAAGAAAAATACATTAGGCACAGATCGGTATAATATTTCATGAGTTACCCACTACACTGACATATATAACATTGATTACTATCCAGTGATCAAACAATTTTAAATACCCTTTAACTGTTTATTAAAAGAGAGGTCTAAATAAACTATGTTATAATCAACTATTGTGTTACAGATCATTATCAAAAATAAAATATCAGTCCAACTCATCAGCGAAAACGAAGTCAAATAACGAAGCCAACAAACAGATCATCCTACCATATTTAAAAGACATTTAAGAAATTATAAAAGAAAGCCGTTATCGAAGTTGTTTGAAAATGGCTGTAGCGCATAAACTACCATAATTACTTCACAGTTGATATTATACAGAACAAAGGATACAATGACAAAAGTCGAAAAACTAAGCATCATCTACAAAATTGAACTGTTCCAATTGCAAGGAACACTACATCGAACAAAGTGGACAATCCTTTCATCTTTGCCTGAATGAACATCAACTAGTGGTCAAATACCGTGATAAATCTTCGCTTAGATAGATCTGTGTGGACAGCTGTGGATGCACACTCGATCAGAAAAGTATTAAAATCTTAAATTGAGCAAATGCTAAGAACACGGGAATTTTTAGAAGCTTGATACTCAAGTCAATTAACAATCAACAAGCACATCGAAATCAATCCAATTTATCAAACAATCAGAAAAATCATAGAATGTTGTAGGTCTAGGAATCGGACTAGGAAGATAATCAAAATAAAGATGCAAACAATGAAAGATCTACAATAACCATTTAAGATTGAGGTCAACAAGAAAAGTTGTTTATCATATGTGAAGAAATTCGAATACTTCATTTCTACCTGAATATTGTAATGGTGATATCGTTCAGAAGAGCAACCGAAGTTCCACGATCATACCATCCAGCTCAGAAAATGAAAATCCACCAACATTTTAAAACGATTTATATTATTTGCTCAATAATATGGATAACTAATAGAAGTAGTAGTACTATTAACAGGATATTTTCAAATTAAATTATTCTGTCAGCGTTATAGAACTAATAATAATAATAATAATAATAATAATAATAATAATAATAATAATAATAATAATAATAATAATAATAATAATAATAATAATAATAATAATAATAATAATAATAATAATAATAAGCTACTCATTTTCTTGTCTACATTGTGTTTTAAGAAGTCAGTTAATTGATACTTGGAATAACTAACTAACTATACTTTCGAATGACGTTAGTCTGTTGATCCGTCTTAGCTAATCAGAAACACAGAAAATATAGATCAATGATTTATTTGTATTACGTTTGTATATTGTACTACGCTATCATTATAAAGTGTTCACCAGCCACTCTCCCATATATATACACGCATTGGTGTTGTACAATATGCTCATTAAGTGTTCTCACATGGCCATGCATATGCAACCACTACCAGGGAAGTCCTACTCACTGCCTTCTCTAGGCAGTGTTGTCTACGGAATTGAGAGGACAAAAAATACGAATGGCTATCGCTTTAACGGGGTTGGTGGATACGGAGGGTTATATGTTTGGTGCCTCCTTGTGCTAATCTTTATGTGTTTAAATAAATAATAAATAAGTTGAATACTTATAATTGTTTATTTGTTATTCTGATTTACAGTATATTAACTTGTTTATTTTTCTTATTATCCTTTCTTTTATTATTTAGAAACTTGAATCAGAAATTAGTATTCTTCGTGAAATACGTATTACAATTTGTACATTTATACATTCATTATTCATCGCTCAACCTGTACTCGCAGAGATTATTGTTTGGCAAGTGAGTGGGGTTTTTTTTTTCAAAGACTTGTATGTGCGTGTGTATATGTGCGTACATAAGTGTATAAATAAATATTTCCCTTATTGAAATTAATTGCTGAAAAATTCCCATTATATTAAAAACACAATTGTATGAACGAAGAATATTCTTTTCAATGAATTTCTCATCAGGTTCTACAATTATAAATCCAGATTAATAATCCATAAAATTGGCCAGATTTAAGGCTAAATACATCATTTAGAAATTGTAATATGTGAATCAGGAATTGTTTGTCATATAAAATAAAATTGTTAATGTTGGGGTTGACTAATATGAAGTGTTAACTTGAATCAGTTTATAAGCAAAATGAAATTGTGCGATAAATTATCAGAATAAATATGGCCAACATGGGGTAAGAGAGAGAGAGAGAGAGAATATTGTGATTACAAATCGGAAATTGCGTAATATGTAAAATAATTAGGTCAAATATAGTAGATTCAGGGGTGGATATTGAATAAATTCCTCAAAAAAAGGGGTTGTCAAGTATAAAGACAGTAACAATAATAATAATAATAATAATAATAATAATAATAATAATAATAATAACAGTAATAATAATAATAAGTTTGGGACATAAAATGAACATTAATCAGATTACGTCACCATATTTTAAGACTGATTATTAGCTAGTTGGCCAGGGTAAAAGGAGTGGCTGAACATACTTCTTTTGGATACAAAGCTCTGGCTTTTTGATCCGAATAGCAATTGCTTCAGCCGTCTGTAGGATTCGCAGTCTGACGGAATTAGGTAGACTGCTGTTGACACGGTAAACTATTGCAAAAGATTGCTCGATGTTGGCTGTATGTCCTGTTTGGACTAAATGGTTGTCAAAACTGTTAACAGCTCAATCTTAGACCATTTAGTCCAAACAGGACATACAGCCAACATCGAGCAATCTTTTGCAATAGTTTACCGTGTCAACAGCAGTCTACCTAATTCCGTCAGACTGCGAATCCTACAGACGGCTGAAGCAATTGCTATTCGGATCAAAAAGCCAGAGCTTTGTATCCAAAAGAAGTATGTTCAGCCACTCCTTTTACCCTGGCCAACTAGCTAATAATCAGTCTTAAAATATGGTGACGTAATCTGATTAATGTTCATTTTATGTCCCAAACTTATTATTATTATTACTGTTATTATTATTATTATTATTATTATTATTATTATTATTATTGTTACTGTCTTTATACTTGACAACCCCTTTTTTTGAGGAATTTATTCAATATCCACCCCTGAATCTACTATATTTGACCTAATTATTTTACATATTACGCAATTTCCGATTTGTAATCACAATATTCTCTCTCTCTCTCTCTCTTACCCCATGTTGGCCATATTTATTCTGATAATTTATCTCACAATTTCATTTCGCTTATAAACTGATTCAAGTTAACACTTCATATTAGTCAGCCCCCAACATTAACGATTTCATTTTATATGACAAACAGCAATTCTTAATTCACATATTGCAATTTCTAAATGATGTATTTTGCCTTAAATCTGGCCAATTTTATGGATTATTAATCTGGATTTATAATTGTAGAACCTGATGAGAAATTCATTGAAAAGAATATTCTTCGTTCATACAATTGTGTTATTGAAATTATTTTGGCATTTGTCTTATTCACTGTATGATTTCATTTGTTGCATGTAATATTCATAGATAATTCATCATATACTATGGGAATTGATTGAAAACCTATTCATAAACTTGATACACCTAAAAGACGTTTGATTCCTTATTAAAGTGTACATTTTTAATCCCTTTTCTATACACTCAAAGTAGTTAAATATCATAATTCTAAATAGGTTAATTACATATAGGGAAATTTATTGATCAATAGTCAAAGCCATTTTGATGAATATCTATTGTTTATTATCGGATTTTGTTGATATCTTAGTTGATAAATGACCCTATCACAAATTAAATTGTTAGAATCTTCTGTGTCAGTATCTTCAATGTCTAATCTTTTCTGTTACCACTAACACTGTTACTACCTCTGTGCTGATGGGATGTGACTCAGTGAAATATGTTTATCGGTTCAGGTTGCTACACTATATCACCATAGTGAGATAAAACTATCAAGACAAACAGTGTCGGAGTAGTAAATGTAGTAACAGTATCAGTTTTAATAGAAAAGATTAAACATGGATGATTTGATAATACAATTCATAGGGAATTCGTTAAACAGAGAAACATAAGATAATTTTAAAAATTCAGGATCTAAGGGAAAACCGGAAGTGAATGCATCTGTATCATTGCAATGGATCGTGAGCCATATCATCAAATACATGGTGAATATTTGTTGATTGTTACTTGTCCCTAATATTTTGTTGTCTTTCATCTCTCAAATTATGTCAACATATCTCTTTAATAATGCGCTTCTATTTACACATCATGATAAAGATTTTTGTATCTATTTAGGGTGATGTGACTCAAAAATCATTCGTAATGTCAAAAACGCTTTCACTATTTATCTTCCTCTCGAGTATGAATTCCAGTATCCCCTCATACATATCTTTTCAATGTGTCTTCTCAAACCATATTCTCACAATTTAGTCTTTCTCCTCATCGTTGCTACTACATTAATTCCATTTCTTTCACCATTTTCATCTCGTGCGAATGCGTTATGGTAGCTTGGACCAGTGCATGTCTGTCAGGCTCTGTGTCGATGATGTCTGTCTATGTGACCACTTTGTATTAATAAAGTAAGAGAATGGATTAATTTAGTAGTCTTCCCATAACGTGAAGGAAATGTGGAAAAAATTTCTGAAGAAACTCAGACTACACTACGGACCAAAAAGTCAGTAATATAAAATAATAAGCATCGAAGATACTATTGAAGGAAATATAAATTAGTGAAACAAAAAAATATATGACGAATTCTAAAGCCTAGACTCTGAGGAAAGATGAAGAATGGATTTTGAGCCACGTCATTCAAAGTCCCTAACCATTGATTATAATGATCATGCGAACCCCAACCAGATAATTTACCTCTACTAACATGTCTAAGTCCAATTGTCAATGACTTCATGGGCTGGTGTCATGTTTCGGTTTGGCCGCTGCTAGCTTTATCCCGGTCTGCCGTTACAACAGAAAACATTGCCCATCGAAGTACGCGGTGGCTAGGAATACGTAACACATGTCCTAACTACCATCAGTCGGTTTTCCATCCTTACCTAATGCTCTAATCCCAAACCAGACATTGTTTACCTCGTGGTCCTAAAATATGCACAAAATGCTTCGAAGACACTTATGATCGAATACTAGTAACCAACGAATATCCTCTGTTTTGAATGGCCACGTTTCACACCCATATGGTAGAATGAAGCGAATTGCCGGGCAGTAAAGTAAAAAAGAAGGATACCTCACATATTCTGCAAGTGGCGTAAGTTGAAAAAAGGTTAACTTAGCCTTCTGAATCCGTATATCGTATCAGTATATCGTCTTCCGTCTAGTGAAACTGCACTTCTATCTGCATACTATTGCTTATATTTCCTAACGCCATGTCATATTTGACAATGAGTCCCACTAACACAACCTTTAATAATTTTTTAGAATTTCTTCTATATATGTCCTCGTATTAGGGTGATTATCTAAAATTTTATTCTAAAAGAATATGGCTATTCATTTCGACATTTCAATTGTACACGAAATCCAGTAATATCTGTTCTCATGCCGCCTTTTTTTCTTTCTTAGAAAATCTACTTTTTTAAAAAGTAATTACATATCATAACTAAAAAAAATATCCTGTGTTGTTTTGATACGAAATAAAGTCTGAAAAATACGTATCATATCAGACACACATACACACATGTACTTACTGTTCTCACATTTTTCGGAGTTGAAATAAACTAGGAACAAGGAGAAAATAGAAGGAATTAGGAAAGTCATAGGTTTTTTTTGACATAAAAATAAAATAAACACTAACTTAGTGTCTACTTTGTGTTCAATTGTTGTATATCATGCGTATTCAATGAAATGTGGTTTTTTTGTAGATTTATTGAAAATAGACTAGATATGTATGGAGAGAAGGGATTATTGGATTAGTAAACTATTGTGGTTTATAATTTAAAATGATGTTGTTTATTCAAATATGGATAGTGGCTAGCAGTGGAATCCAGGACGCACGTTTCATCCCATTTGAACTCAGTAGCTAAGTGGATAACGCTATGGCATTTGAAGTGAACGGTACTGGGTTCTAGTCTCGGAGTGAACATCAATTCTGCAATGCAGGTACATCTAGCTGGCGAGTTCTAAATAGGACGAAGCGTGCGTCCTGGATTCCACTGCTAGCCAATATTCATCTTTAAATAAACAACATCGTTTTAAATTATAAAACTCAATAGTTTACTAACCCAATAATCCCTTCTCTCCATACATATCTAATCACTTTTCAATAAATCTTCACAAAAAAAACACATTTCATTGAATACGCATGATATACAACAATTGAACACAAAGTAGACATTAAGTTAGTGTTTATTTTATTTTTATGTCAAAAAAAAACCTATGACTTTCCTACTTTCCTTTATTTTCTCCTTGTGTCTAGGTTATTTCAACTCCGAAAAATGTGAGAACAGTGACATTGCGTGCTCCATGCTAAGATTGTTTGAACCAGTCTGTAGAGTAAACTGTACTTGATAGAAGTTTCACGTTATTTTTAACACTCGCGGATTTGAATCCCAAATAAAGTGAATCAATTTCCTTAGGATTCCAAACCCTTTTTTTCCTAATGAATGGCAAATAACACGACACCTACGTCAAACAAGGTTTTCTTCCACCTTTCTCCAAGCACAGAACAATAATGAGCTTTTATTGTCTTTAGTTTTCTTAACCTAGTTATGTTGATGATGAGTAGTACTTACTTTCATCAATTACTGTTCGCTTATCTACTCGTCCTTCCCTATATTATATTTCTTTTTAAGGAAATAAACACAAGCGCTTCAACAAAAGCAGTTTTTTTTATGATTATCACGGTTGCACAGTTGTGCGTGTATATATGTTTATTGAAGATACACTACAGTTTCAATAAATAAATGGATGTCATTGAAATATAAAAACATTTTACACTACAAAAGTCTTCATTGTGTCACCCCAATGATGCATGCGTAGTAGGTTTCTGTTTCTTTAAAATTTTTGTCTACTAGCATGACTCTCTCTATATATTATAATCCTATAATAATAATAATAATCATAATTCATTATTTTCACTTAGACGTATCCCCGTGCATTGATCCCTATCAGTGCTCAAGCCATCCCATCATTACATATCTGTTTGGATACAGTTATTGATGTATTTCGAATGAGTGGAGATTATGCCAAAATGGTAAGCTGGAACTTATTTTCCTTCGACTTTTTTATTTATTTAATTTTTTGACAGTTCATTTTTATAATTTACAGTTGAATATTTAATTAAGTAGAATTGTACATATATATACTACTTATAATTTAATCAGCTTATTGTATATTAGTTAATATATATGATACTGATGAAATAAACGTCAATAGTTTCCATGTTGTCTCTTAGTTGTAATTATTATTTGGTAGAAAATTATTTCCTTTTTAGTCATGGGAATCAGATAAATATTGATTTGAACATCCGGTTTGTTTTGGTTTGGTTTTCTTATTTAAATCAATGTAGAAAGTAATGTTTTATTTTGTTCTATCTATACAGTTGTATAAATTTAAATCATGAAAGAATTAGACAAACAACCGATGTTGTCAATTTTGTTTTGACTAAATTTTCAATAACACCACCGTTTAATCGAATGGCTTTGGTAAAGTGATATAATGTATGGTTTAAAATATTTTTTTCCTACACTAATACGTTACTACGATAATGAGACTAGTCAGATCCAGCATTCACAACCTAGAATAGGCAACCAGGTTAACACTAGATAATACTTTATTCAATACCGCTGCAAGAAGTCACAATCAGTGAGTTCACGATAGAAATTAATAAGAGGAAAGGAAATCACATTTAATAGTCAGTAGGCTAAGTACCTGTTTGTCTACGCTCAGTGACCAATCCATAGTTTACTTTCACTACCGCATATCATAAAGTTAGCTATTGTGGTTAGAGCAGTGGAGACTAGAATGTGCTTTATTTTCTGTTCAGGACTCATCAATTGAATGTGCCTATATTTCAGTATCGACGTTCGCATTAGGACTTCAACCCGGTCAGTCATCTTTTGTTTCGATCACTAACTCCTTATCCATTGAACTACCCACTCCAGATAGACATTAAGTTATTCAATGAGTATAATGTTTATTATTCATTATTAATTGGGTTTAAGTCCTAAATACAATGAGATTTGTATCGTGGCTTCCAATCCTCAAGTCGAAAATAGTCTGTTCTTTTAAAATCTCGCAACAAACTGGGTATATCAAGACAATCCACAAAGTGTGCAAAAATATGCTGTCTGGGCCTTAACATTGATTAAATTCCACCAACTAAAAATGTAGAATTTTTTCACTAAACTACATATTGTCAATATTTTTCTATCCCACTGACTATTCTATCATGAAATATTTCAAAAATTCTTGTCAGTAGTAGACACTTCAATTGACTTTAAGCATATTATTTTTCTTTTATAATGGGAAACTTTTTTTTACTGAAAAACTAAAACACATGACATAATTAACTAATATCAGTTTTGTTTTCAATTCTACAAGTGTATTCCTTAAAAAAAACCAGTCTGTATCATATGATGATGGAGAATTTTTGTAGTTCCGGATGAGAATGTTCGAGGTGTTGTAGTCTCTATATTTATTTATTTGAACCCAAATATTGATACAAAGGGGCACCGAATACATATACGCCACACAAGTCACTTGATTTGTGTGTGGCAGTGATACTTATCGGTTGTCCAGACCAAAGTAAGTGGTTTGTTTAGAGAGCCACACCCACAAGACAGTGGACTAACGTCAGGAGATGTAGTCCCATGGTGGCCGGTGACTAACAGTTGGTTGATACACCATTTGTTCTCTCGGGATGCTGGAGCCCATGTGCACCATTAGTTTGGTATCAGTGTTTCCCAACTCCTCTAGGTGGACCCTCCGTGTCCACCAACCCGGTCAAAGCGACAGACATTCGCTTTTCGTCCTCTCAATTTCGTAAACAACACCGCCTCAAGGAGACAGTGAGTAGGAATTCCCTGGTTACTGGCTGTATACGCGTGATCATATGAGAGCGTTTCGAGAGAGCAGACTCTTCCCCACCCTTGACCGTACGAGAGCATTTGGGGGCGTAGTCTCTATTGTTGGATTACCAGCAGTTAACTGCATAAAAGTATCCCTAATTAGTAGTGTCATTTACTGTTCAAAAACATCATTTATAAATGAACAATAAAACGTTTTTCAAATAAATTCTCATTATTCAAACTAATGACGATTAAGACGAGAGAATAAAGAGCTTCAGGCAGTTTCTTATTTTTTTAAATAATAAAATATGTACAACATATGCATTTTAGAATTTTAAGTAAAATTAGATTGTCTATGTTGTTCATCAAGATTGTAAAATTAATAATCGGAATAATTATGATCGAAGTAGAATAAAACGAATATATATATTTTTTGAAATGATCGCTGGCGGACAATGCTACTGGTAGATGATTTTTGATTTTCTAAACTCAGACAATACAATTTCATCAAAGTTTCCAATAATAATCATATCAATTATTCGATAAGAAATTATGCTATTGAAATGAATGATATGAATAAGATAAGGAATATTAGAGAAAAAAGGTTAAATTAATAGTAGACGAAAGTGAATTATTCATCTGATGTATAATATAGGGTAGGGTAAACCAGAAAATTAATCAGATACATCCAAGATGCTAATATTATGGGGGAATTGTGATATATATATATATATTAGGCGTATCAGGTTGCACTATATATTGAAGAAAATTGTCCATTTATTAGTTCTGAAGCTGGTCAAAGTAGTAAAAGAGGATAAACCGGGTTTTTTTTATGGAATTTAGAACTCAGGGCGTTTCTTTTTTTACTTGAAAAGTTATTGCTTCCATCGTTTGAGAAATTTCGAGATTAGACCACCTATTGTGACTTGTAACTTTTAACAGTAAAGGTTATTAAAAATCAACGGTTATCGCTTGTTTTATGATCTGTTTGAACTGTATTAACTACGATCGAACCATTTACGATTGTGACTGAAGTAAGAATCTAAATTCTTAGAACACTAGCCAATATAACTTACTTCATTGAAACATTTGTATTGAAAAATTCAAAAAATGGATTTTTTTTCGTTCCATGGTTTTTATTCAGAATGACTTATGCACTAATCTTTCGTACACCACTGTTGAATCGCCTGTTGGATTATTGCTATTACAAGGTGTTGCGTAGATTGTTGAATTCAAAGTTTCACATTATGGACTAAATCGAGTTGAATATCAGTGTACTCTACATAACTGTTTGACCGTAGTGTTAGACATAATACTCATGCATTACTCAACTAGTGATTAAATCCAAATACCATCGCACCTCACGATGGACACTGGATCTTCAAATTATTTCACTTAGTTCGTGATATTGTACGATCATCATCCATCGTCACAATTGGCACAAGTACACAAATAAATACATAACTTCAGCCTAATTAAATAAGTAAAATAACTTGATCTATAATATTCATCTGTTACATCTGTTAAACACACCTTGCATTTAATCATAACGCTCCACATACATAGGTACAATACCATTACGATTGTGTTAAAGTATTTATATTACTCTGTAATCCTCTGGATTCCAACCAGTCACTGTGTACTTCAAATTGTTTGTTTCCGTAAGGTATTTCTCACTGATAAACTTATGATTTTGATAATTGAATTTGGACAGAATTCTTTTTGGTTGTATCAAAATAAACTCTGAACGTCAGTCTCAATCATCATCTCTTTATATTTAATAACCGTACATAATAAATATGCCTTGTTTTTTTTTTAATGATCACTGTCTAAAGTTGTAAATAAATGAATAATACTTGTCTGTTTCTTATGAATATTGCCGTAAATTCGGTGAGTGGGGTTAGAGAGATGGAAATAAACAAAAATTCTTTTGAATAAGGAGAAAATCTTTAGTCTTTGATGTTGTTTCTTTCTTCGTTATACGTCCAAGTGTGTGTGTGTGTATGTATGTATGTATATGTGTATGTATGCGTAGAAAAAAAAAAACCTTAAACTGTGTCATGCATCTTAAACATCAAATGTCAATGGGATCTGTTCATTTTAACTTTTGAAAATTATATTTCTGTTTGTTCTTGTCATTGTTGTCACTGATTTAAAGAAGAAGAAGAAGAAGAAGAAAAACGGGAGGTTCATCAATGACTAGTTTTTGTACATTTGTAATATTAAATTCATTAAAGTATGGTTAGATAAATAGATTTGTATGCCAGTAAATAATTTATTTATACCAAAATATGAAAATACTAATTCAGTTATTCAGTTTCAATAAGTTTTCTTTAGGAAACCTGTACATACTCGAAATTTTCCATGAGTAGAAGTTGAGAGAGCTATTCAATTTTATAGCTTGCATCAAACACTAGTCTTAGTTAGATAACTTCTGAGAATCATAAAGCAATGGATAGCTATTTTATTTTTGTGTGATACTCTTCAACTGTTCACTTGCATGACCCCACGGGAAATTGGACTAAGGATCTCCATGTTTTACAGCAAGTCCTTGAATTTTCATTGATTCGTTTTACATAATACTTGAGGTATATATTTTCAATATTCTATTAAACGTCTTTTTAAATTATCAATCAGAAACGATTCTTATCTCATCAATTTCATAGTTTTATCATATAAACAGTTAGTATATATACAAAGGGTCAGAAAATGTTTTACCATAATTCAGTCCTAAATTGTACCGATTTGGGAATTGAAACATGTTATAAACTGTAGCCTTGTGCCCAAAGACGCATAAACCCGTACGAACAGTCTAGAATCCTTATCGGTTTTTCTTCCTGACTAGTCCTGCTTGTTTAAGTCCATTACGCCAATTTCAACCTCCTCGATATGAATCATATATTTTAAACATACTGGGTTTATATACAAGCCATAAAATAGAAAATAACATTTGTACAAGATCTAGCCAAAAGTGGCTGTGTTTGTGGGAGACTGAAATTCATAAAATGGGCATAACTTAAGAATGGTCAATCGTACAATAATAGTTCATAGGTCAAAATAAAGCTTAGAATAAGTGGTACATCAATATGCGTAGTTTAATTATTTTACAATTATACAATAAAAATACATGTATAATATTAGTCCATAAATAGATCCCAACAGTTACCATTCATTATTCTCGTCT